ACACATCAAAAATCTACATTGAAATAAAAGAAAACGGGACATGAAATAGAACGATAAAACACTGATTTTTTTTGTATTTTGTAAAAGAAAAAGACAAGACAATTCTACCAAACCATCAAAATTTACATCAAAAGGTTAAAAATGCCGAGAAAAAAACAAAACTACAGTACATCATGTGTCTTGGAGATTTAAAATAAAAAGCAATTAAAATGCAAATACAGTACATCATGTGTCTTAAATTTAAAATAAAGAGCTTTTAAAATGCAAGAATATACAGTTGTACATCAATTTTCATAAAGCTGAACTACAAGTTGAATATACCTGACCTACAGAAAGTTAAGCATTAAATCTCTTTTTAAATAAATGTGTTTTCAAATGAGACTTGAAAACATCAATGGTAGAACAAGATCTAATATAAAGGGGTAAAGTGTTGAAAAGCCGAGGACCAATATTCTCAAAAGCACGGTCTTTAAATGCTACTTTTGAATTTTTACCATCCGATCGCAGTACTTTAACAGATTTTACCTTTGCCAAAAACTGAAATCCCGACGAAGGTTTCGTTTTGGAGTGTGCCATTCAATTAGTTCAGATAAACATTATGGTGCTACACCATGTAGGGATTTATAAACCATTATTAGCAATTTAAATTCAATCCTTTGTGGAATCGGTAACCAATGAAGTCTAATGTATACGTCAGTAATATGATCGTATTTACGTGTTCTAGTTACAAGCCTAGCAGCTGCATTCTGGACACGAATAAGTGGTTTAAGTTTATATGCTGGAAGTCCAGCAAGCAAAGAATTACAGTTATCTAATCTAGACGAAATAAATGCATGAACTAGTTTTTCAGTATCAGACTGAGAAAGGGATTTCCGTATACGACCTGCAAATATTGGAAATGTGATTGGTCATAGAAAGCTTTGAATCAATCACAACCCCAAGGTTTCGAGCACAAGACGATATCTCAATTAAATTGTCACCAATCTTAATTTCATTAATTGAACTTAAATTGTTATGAAATTGTCGAGATGACAACATTAGAAACTCGATCTTCGAAGATTTTGAGAGTAGTGCATAGGGTCTGACCAGGACATTTTTGCCTTATTTGGGAGGCTCTAGACCAGTCAGAAGCCTGCATTACGTACCACGTGACCCTAATTTGCATAAAATGAGCAGCAGGACTATTCCATTTTAGAGCGGGGGTGTGTTAACCCTATTCCATTTTTAGAAAGGGGTTTTCAAATTGGACTATTCCATTTTAGAGCAGGGGTGTTTGACCTTAAACCTATTCCATTTAGGAGGAGGGGGATTTAACTAAACCTATTCTATTTTTGGAGCAGGGATGCTTAACCCTAACCTTATTCCATTTTACAGGTGTTAGCCCTAGACCTATTTTTTTTTTTTTTTACCAAAAGTGGTTAACCCTAACCCTATTCCATTAATGAGCAGGGGTGCTTAATCCTAACCCCTTCAGTATTTCATTTATGAGTAGGAGTGTTTCCTAACCTATTCTATTAATAAGCAGGGGTGCTTAACCCCTACAGCATTTCATTTATGAGTAGGGGTGTTTTTAATAGAGCAGGGGTGTTTACCCCTAAACTTATTCCATTTTTACAGCAGGAGTGCTTAACTTTAAACCTATTCCATTTAGGAGCAGGGGTACTTAACCCTAACCCTATTCCATTAATGAGCAGGGGTGCTTTACCCAAACCCTGTTTCATTTTTATAGCAGGGGTGCCGAACCTAAACCTATTCCATTTTTCAAGGTGGTTAACCCTAACCTATTCAATTTTTAGAGAATTGATATTTACCTAAACCATATATCATATTTAGAGCAAGGGTGCTTAACTCTAAACCTATTTCATTTTAGACCAAGGGTGTATAACCCTAAATATATTCTATTTTACAGGGTTTTTAACCCTATTCTATTTTACTTCAATCAATACAAACATAGCTACCACCTAAATATTGTAACCTATATCGTAACCCTATCTTTGATTTCACTATATACTATGATGTAAGGTCTAATATGTTCTGAATAAAATCGATCTACTGCAATTGTTCTAGACAAGAGCCTTTTGAAAAACGAGGACCAGCTAATGTTTAATCCTTTTGTTACAACTGTTTTATAGATAATTCAAACAGTGACGTCATGTTGAACGTGTCTGAACTTGTAAGAATGGATTTATTTTTAGTGCCCATCTTACCCTTTTACACTTTTTAAATTCTATGTTTTTCTTTTCAGACCTCTCTAATATTTTAGATATCCTATATTGGAATTACTGTATGGGATAATGTTGATTATGTAAATAACAGTTGGTGGTAAATTTTTTCTAAACGCTCTTAATTTTGTTTTTTATTTTTCGTAGTACGTGAGGATTTGGTGTTAGTAAATCAAAAACTACTAATTTTCTAAACTATTTTTTATTTTAATTATACATCTATTTTTTTTTCAGCTAAACTATTTATAAATAACTTTTCTGTTGATTTTTCTTTCTGTTGATTTTTTCTTTTTAACATTTACAAGATTCCTGTTTATTTTTTTTTCTCTATTTTGAATAAAGCAGAGGGTTTTTAAACATTTTTGTTACAACTCGTTTTACTTGAACGTACGATAACTGCCGTATGGTGAAGCAGTTTTCATTTCTCTTGTTGCTTTTTATTTTTTTGTACGTACTTTCCTTTTGTAGAATGATTAATGGTATTTTTTTTTACTTTGTCTCTCATATATGAGTAGTAGTTGTAACAATTTGGAGGACCTTTGATTTGGATGTTTTTCGTTTTCAATTAACGAAAATGTATGATCATTATGACCATTATTGGTGTTTTCTATAGAAAAGTATTTGAAGTCAATTATTAAAACGAATAGCAATACAGTTGAAAGATACAAATCAACAAGAAAAAATGTATAACTAAATCGAAAGATCCGAACATAAATTAAACATTGGTTTTGCAGAAATATTGTACAGGATCTACCTAATTATTTGTTTTGTGTGTTTTTTTGCCCATTCAATGAGGCAATGGCGCTATTTTGTAAAACCAATTAAAGTAAGGCCATTGGTTAAAACTTGGTGACAAACTTTTAATGGGTGTGTATCGCCGTTAGCTTATGTATTTATTTTTGCTCAACTCTTCTTAAACTTTTCGGTTGCTTCTTCCATCTGGAAACATTTCCTAACTGTGTATCTAAATTGACATATCTAAAAGTTTCCGACCAATAGCACTAACATATTGCTCATGAAATGTCTGAAAAGACAGCTTGATTATAGCCTGTAGTTAAAAACAAGCTTAACCCTATGCTGTTCGCATATACAGAGCGCATCGTGCATTGTATTTTAACGTGAAAGGCTATTGAATGTTCTATTGTTTTAGATACCTGTTTACCGTTACAACTGTGTCTCTTAACATAATGCTGAAATATAGTAGTCTGTTTGTTTTTTTGTTTTTTTTCAAAAGAATGGCTGATATGATAGAGTCGTACATAAAACAAAGGTGTTGATTCGTGATGCCTTACACGCGTCGTCTTATACGTTACAATAGCAACACGTCGTAATTTACCTGATAGCAGATTGTACGTTTTTAGCATTTCTTTATATTTTATTTAGTTTAGGTAATTATTGCTGGACCAAGCATTAAAAAATAAACATATGTATCTATATGGTGTAACAAGCCTGTTGTTATTGATATCAACCCAGCCAATTTTGAATATCAGCAAGAAATTGTGTTTCAAACTACTTGTTTTTTTATTTGTTTTATTTCTTTATTTTTTTTATTATAAGTATAAAACAATTTTGGACGAATAACGTAGCCTAGATTATTTGTTATCCTCTGTTTGTGTAATTTGCTACTGATAAGGTTTGTAAAGTAAGTCATGATAAGAATTAATTTTAAAGAATACAGTAACCAACATTGGTGTGATATTGATCAGCTGTGAATTGTGACGTAGGGCAGCTGATGGCGTTACTTTCTGATTAATCGATAGTATATCAGTTGGACAAGTTCAGACTTGTCAAAATTGACGGTTACGCGATCAATGATCTCTCAGCGCAATCGAAAAAATGGTAATACATTTTTCTCACTTGTGATTGGTCATTCTCATTTTGTTTTAACTTTGTTTAAGAATAATCAAATCTTATTGGTCAATGGCCTTTTATATTATACTAGGACAGTGTATAATTATCGACGACAAGTCTCATCAGCCCATAGGCCAACACTAGCTTACAACTGTTCAGTAACAATTACCGTCTCCAACACATACAAGGTAGGATTCCATCTCTATGGGAAAAGTATTTGAAACATTGATAATCTATTTCAACAAGTGTTACAAAATAACCTCTAATCATACAAACAACCTAGAAGGTCTAGTAATCACTATAGGCCTATGGTAAAAACAAACTACCAAAATAACATATTAGAAGTATTCTTCTTGCCTGTTATGATTTTTTAATTGTCTTAATTATAAACTTCAAGAGTTCTCTAAATTTGTGATTAAGAATTTGATATTTTGTATAAAATTACATTGGCATGTTGTTTTGTTTTAATTTTTTTTTACGTATAGACAATGTGATAATGATGAAAGTTAGTATTTTATAATAAATAGATTAAGGGTAAGCCTTTCTAAATCTGCAGATATACTAGACCTACAGTAGGTACAGGTAACTTCAAGAGTTCTCTAAATTTGTGATTAAGAATTTGATGTTTTGTATAAAATTACATTGGCATGTTGTTTTGTTTTAATTTTTTTTTTACGTATAGACAATGTGATAATGATGAAAGTTAGTATTTTATAATAAATAGATTAAGGGTAAGCCTTTCTAAATCTGCAGATATACTAGACCTACAGTAGGTACAGGTATGCAATTTTACAAAATGTGACCTAATCAGCTGTTGCAGAAATGCGTCACTCCTTTTGCTGTTTCAATCATTTAATTTGCTGAATATAGATAGGATTTGTAATTTCTTGCTATATTTTGTTTTAGATAAAGTTATAACTATATTCCACCCCTGTAATTCATTGATTTCAATCAATTTGAAAACGACAAGAAATTATGAAGGTAAGTTACATAAGTGTATCAAACCTGTAATCTATATGCTAGAATATCGTGTAATCCTTTATTCTCCACTTCTGAGTATTAAACTAAAAATATTTACTTTATTTATCATATCATATGGAATTATGAACAGCTACAGCAAAAGATAAATTCTTAGGATTAAGGTACAGTTAAATAAAGTGACATATAAAAATTATAACCATAGTATTATGACTAAGGAGTTCATAAGTCTCTGTTCAAAACATGATTGCAGTTAAATATTAGTTTCAACATTAATAATGGTTTTCAATAAACCAATTCTGTACTGGAATAAATGAATGACAGGCACAATAATGATTTATTGAAAGTTCATATAGGCCCAGCCAACTTAAGTAAATACTGTAACATACCTACAGTTATACTTCTATTAGAATTATCTCACATATTTTGTTTTACAGCCAACGCTTTCTTGCAAAGTATGTAACAAAGTTTTCCATACTCGCTTCAACCAACACCAATGCGATAAGTGCGGTAAAGTATTTGCAAGACATTACAATTTTGTTCGACACCTCAACAACAAGCATGGAAGTGAGAATAATGTGCAAAGTGGATATGGTGCAGGTCAAATTGACGAACCTACTACTAAGCGACAGAAGTTATCTAACAATGGTCTTGACTTTTATCAAGTCACTAATATGACTGAAGTTAGTATGAAGAAATTCAAGACGAAAGGAATTCAATACAGCGTTAAATTTAACGATGATTTAGATATTCGTGATTCAACTACTATCCTAAGTACGCTACATAAAGTTTTTCAGAGTCTCATCGACACCTTGACGGAAGGGGCACATCCTGACGATCTAATTCGTATGGTGGTAGAGTGTCCAGAATTGGATTATCCTATACAACTTCCATTGGTGAAAAAACGACACTTGACGGCTGACCTATTCCTTGCTAGAGTAGAACGAGTACTACAGTCGTACGAAGAATTCAGCATCGATGGGTCATTAGAAATACATATTACGCATGTGGAAATGTCCAGAGGAGGAAAGATTCCAAAAAAGAGATACGTCGACCTGGAGCGATTCTTAAAAGAAAAACAACGTATTCTTCGAATCCGAAATAAAGATGAACTGTGTTGTGCTAGAGCTATTGTTACAGCAAAAGCTAAAATTGAACAACCGAAGAATTGGGAGGCCATTCGTAAAGGATACAAGATACAGCAAAAACTGGCCGTTGATTTGCATCACGTAGCGAGAGTACCTCTTGCTAAATTTGGAATCAATGAGATCAAACAATTTCAACATGTGCTGCCACCATTTCAAATAATTGTTGCTTCTTTAGATTACGGCAATGCAATTATATACCGAGGGCCGCCTGCAAAACAGCAAATCTACTTGTATCATCACAATAACCATTACGACGTTATACACATCTAGATGTGTATAAGAGACAGGTTATCACTAGTATGCCCGCTTTCCTCAATAGAAGCTACTTTTGTATCGAATGCATGAAAGGATACAACAATAAGTTAGAACATCGGTGTCAAAACACGTGTAAACTCTGCTTTCAAAGTAACTGTATTGAAGAAATCTGGAAATATTGTGATGACTGTAATAGGTCATTTAAAAGTAAAAACTGTTACAAAAACCACTTAAGACAACTTTCGACATCTTATGGGTCGGTATGCAAATTATATTATAGGTGTAGAGACTGCAATCAATTCGTTAGCAGAAAAAGGCACAGAGGAAAACCACATCAACGTGGCGAAAAATACTGCGTAATCTGCAAAACTTTTGTACAACAAGATCACCTTTGTTATATGCAGCCAGTAAATAATGAAACGATGAATGATACAAGTGACGAAATTGTTGATGAGATAAGTAGTGTAGTTAGCCTAAGCTATATTTTCTTTGACTTTGAATGCATTCAAGAAACTGGCATCCATGAGCCGAATCTTTGTATCGCTCAAAAAGTATGCAACGCATGTATTAACATCGATGAGGGTGAATCTTGTTTAAAGTTCGGTGAACGCGAAAAACAATTTTATGGCCCAGCACTCGTGAAGATTTTTGCAAATGGCTTTTTAATGAAGAAAACGCCGGTGCAATTATCATTTGTCATAATTTCAAAGGTTACGATTCATACTTTGTTCTCCGATACCTTTACGACAATGCCATTCTACCAAAAGTAATCTACAATGGAGCTAAAGTTATGAGTATTTTATTTAAATGTGTTAATGGTATCTATGGTAATGAAATTCATAGACTCATTAAATTTTCTTCCTATGGCTCTGTCTAAACTTCCAGGGGCATTTGGCCTTAATGAGTTAGCAAAAGGATATTTTCCGCATCTTTTCAATACAAAAGCTAATCAAGAGGTTGTCCTTTCCCATTTGCCAGATATGCATTATTACAACCCAGACGGGATGTCAACTACTGAGAGAAAGAAATTTGTTGAGTGGTACAATGCAAACCATAACGATGAATTTAACTGTAAATCGGAACTTTTAAAGTATTGCCGATCGGATGTTGATATACTTCGTAGATGTTGCTTGAAATTCAGATCCCTGTTTATGGAAATGACCGAGGATGAATGTAGTCCTGGAATAGATCCCTTTCAAAACTGTATTACGATTGCATCAGCATGCAACTTAGTGTACCGTACCAAATACTTACCACAGGACACTATCGGAATCATTCATCCCTTAGTGTACTCTTCGAATGATAGGCAATCTATCAAAGCTCTTCAATGGCTTAAGTGGATGTCCCATAAAAATGGACAATATATTCAACATGCTGCCAATCAGGGCGAAAAACACATTGGTAAATACAAAGCCGATGGATATATCCAGGCAAACGGGGAGGAAATAGTACTTGTTGATCACGGCTGTCTACACCATGGACACACGTGTATGGAACGTGAAACAAAACACCCCTTAAACGGTTTCAATATGGAAGAGCTGTACCAAAAGACTATAGATAAACGACGGTATATCACAGACCTAGGTTATAAGTATATTGAGCAATGGGAATGCAAATTTGACAAAGAGATCAAACAAAACAATGAAATGGCCGATTTCATAAAAACATTGACTATTCCATCACCACTTGTCCCTCGCGATGCTTTTTTTGGTGGTAGGACAAATGCTGCTAAACTGTACTATTCGGTTCAACCCAATGAAACGATAAAGTATGTTGATTTTACAAGTTTATACCCCTTCGTTAACAAGGTTGGAATATGTTCAATAGGGCATCCTATAATAATAACAGAAAATTTTAAAGATATTACCGAGTATGAAAGGGTAATAAAATGTAAAGTGCTTCCTCCTAGAGGGCTTTACCACCCAGTTTTACCTTACAGAGCTTCTGGTCGTCTGATGTTTTCTCTCTGTTCCAAATGTTGCGAGTCGCTCGTTCAATCTCCATGTGAACACAGCGATGATGATCGTGCGCTTGAGGGTATTTGAGATTTGGCATTTTTGAAAACACATCGGTATACGACCCTGTGACTAAGGATGGTGGACTATTCACAGCTTACGTTAATGCCTTCCTCAAGTTAAAACAAGAAGCCAGCGATTGGCCTAATTGGTGTAAGACCAAAGAACAACGAGATACATATGTACAGTTGTACTTTGAAAAAGAAGGAATTGTGCTAAATCCTAATAATATAAAAAAGAACCCTGGTTTACGTGCATTGGCCAAGCTTATTCTAAATTCATTTTGGGGGAAATTTAGACAGCGCCCAAACATGACTAAAACCACGTATATCGACGATCCAGAGGAATATTTCGAAATGATGACTCGCGATGACACTGAGGTGCATAATGTAAACTTTGTAAATGACCAGATGGTAGAAGTACAATGGCAACAAACTAAAGACTTTGTAGAACCGTCTGGTCGTACAAATGTAATCATAGCGGCATACATCTGCACAGGCGCGTCTTAAATTATACGAACTCTTAGAACAGCTTGACAGGCGTGTATTGTACTACGACACCGACAGTGTGATATACGTAAGTCGGGAAGGACAATGGGAACCGCACATTTGGGATTTTTTGGGCGAATTGACGGATGAATTGGAATCCGACAACCACATCGTCGCATTTGTGTCTGGGGGACCAAAAAATTATTCTTACAAATTAGCCAAGCCAGAGAGGAATGGAAATTTAACTCATTGTAAAGTTCGGGGAATTAGACTGAATTATCGCAACGACAGTTTAGTCAACTTTGGAAGCATGTTAAAAATGGTTCAGGGTGAAGGTCCAAAGAAAATACAAGTCACAGACCCATACAAGATTGTAAGGGAAAAGAAGAACATGAATATCGAAACACGAGAAGTTGTATACACGAAACGGGTGCCTATAGGCAATTATGACACTGTTCCTTACGGTTATTAGTTTTCAGTTTACTAATCCATATGGGTACTTTTTTGATGGGGTATAATTAATAGTTATGTTTGTATTCTGATGACAAACGTTTTATCTTTCATTGTGGATATTTTGTATATTATAATTTTTAATTAGTAGTACTAGTACAATTGCAAAGAATATTTGCTCAATGTATAAAGAATCGTTTGTACCGTTCTGCTATATTCATGCAAATTCAGAAAGGTTATTGTATACAATATTGCACCACTGTCGATTTTAACTTCTTACAAACCTGCATCACTTTATATTTTGTAAATATTGTACTGCATTTTTGCTATTCACAAGCTACTGTATAAGATTTTTGGATAAAAATAAAAAAAGGACTGTTAGTAATCACAAATGTGTGTATTTTGTATTTTTACTAACACAATTGTAGCATTATTGATAAAACATAACTTACTACTGCACTATCAGTATTTTAACCAACTATTTTTTCTTTTTATTGTAGCAATAAATATATTTTTACGCTATGAAAGATGTGGTTTGAATGATACGTTTACTTTCTATGGTCATATTGTTCGGTAATCAACAATAGTTTAACATTACGTTATTTAAACAAAATTGCTTATACTTATACACCATATAGATACATATGTTTATTTTTTAATGCTTGGTCCAACAATAATTACTTAAACTAAATAAATTATAAAGAAATGCTAAAAACGTACACTCTGCTATCAGGTAAATTACGACGTGTTGCTATTGTAACGTATAAGACGACGCGTGTAAGGCATCACGAATCAACACCTTTGTTTTATGTACGACTCTATCATATCAGCCATTCTTTTGAAAAAAACAAACTGACTACTATATTTCAACATTATGTTAAGAGACACAGTTATAACGGTAAACATGTATCTAATACAATAGAACCGTTTCAATAGCCTTTCACGTTATAATACAATGTACGATGCGCTCT